AGTTTCCTGTTGCTACTGTAACAACCAGAGACTTGGCAGCTTAAACAAGATGAAGTTTTTATCTGACGGCTCTGGAGGTCAGAGGTCTGAAATCACTCACTGGGCTGAGATCAAGTCCTGTGCTCCTGCTGGAGGCTCCGGGGAGAATCTGTTTCCCTGCCTTTCCCAGGTTCTCAAGGCCGCCTGTTTTCCTTGGCTCACGGCCCCTGCTCCATCTTCAGAGCTCATTGCTCCAACCTCTGCTTCCGGCGCCACATTCCTTCTCTGACTCTGATCCTGCCTCCCTCCTATAAGGACACTTGTGATTACATGGGGCCCCCCGAGACAATCCAGGATCATCTCCCATCTCGAGGTCCTTAATTACACCTGCAAAGCCCCAGGTTCTGGGGACTATGACATGGACATCTTTGGGGGCCATGTATTCAACCTACCACATCAGGTCCTTTGAAAGTTCGCTAAAACTGTAGTGGGTTGGACAGGTGGAAGGGAGAACATCCTTTGCTCTCACCTCTGGAACAGTGCTCTGCTCTCCCAAGAATCACTCTAAGGAAACTTCACTAAGGAATCATGGGGAAAAGATAAAAAAGAAACAAAGCCAGAATAATGGGAACATGCTGCTGGGGTCCCGGGATTACAGCTCACTGGTAAAATTATTGAACTGCTGAAGTTCTCCTCCAGATTCCATGGATTTTGACACCTGTGCCAGACCCTCCCCCCCACCTCAGGGCAGGAGATTGGGGGTGCTGGCCCCCGGCTGAAGGCTCCCCCAGGCCAGCCTGGGTTTAGAGCAGGAAGAGGTCCTATCGCACAGTCTGGGACTCAGCGTGCACCCCCCGGAGCTGGTTCATCTGTGGTTGCTGATTATCAAAGCTCACAGCCGCTCAGGACCAGTGACAGACACACTGATAATCTGGAAATACTGTCTACATTCATCACCTAACTTCCTATGAACCGGGGGACATTTCTACTTCTTTTGTTCTGGCTAAACGTATCCCTGTTAAGATTGGCAATTAGGCACAGTGGAACCCAGTGCCACAACGCTTGCTACTGATAAATTAGAATTAGCTCAAGGTTAAACTGTCTTCTTTGAATCTTAACTCCACACCACGGAAGCCAAAGCTATCAGCTCAGGAAAGACTTCCCACCGTATGAGATGGAAGTAATATTTAATAAAAAATAAAACTCAGTGGCAGAAAGTCAAACCATAATCTTAGGCAAGTAATTTACTGGGAATTCTTTCTGTCTGAGGCCCTCCTGTCCCCAGGAGCAGCTGGGTAATGGTACTCTCCACTGAGAAGACCATCTCAAGTATTAAACCTTGTCATTTACCTTCAGAGATGATTCTCCACGCTCCGGGAGCAAGCAAACATCAACAATGGTCTGTCAGTAAATACGGACTTCTCTCTACCCTCTTAGCCTTCAAATGACAGTGAATAACGTACACAATACCCACCAAGTCCAGATGTAGCCCAAGGTAACTGGAGAGGTTGACTCATCCTGAGAGCTCATCCAGGCCAGGCTCTTGATGGGGATTCTCACATCTAAGCCCCATGACAAACCTCACGTAGGTGACATTCACTACTTTCCTGTTCAAACGAGCAGGAAAAGGAAGTCAACAGGTCGAAGGTCAGGTTCACACCCGGGAAGAGTCGAGATGAAAATCCTGGAAGTTCAATCCAATCAAGCTCTTAGCTACTGCCCTCGTCCTGCTAGACTGGTAAACTGAAATAACGTGACACTTCTTGTGACTTATCCGAAAGGAATAAGAAAGGGAGTTCTTCACTCGTTTTTTATTTATTTTTCTGAGCCCTATGTATGCTAGCCATAGGCGGGTCCCTGAGTGAAGCCAAGAGAAAGGCAATGACATCCTGGTGTGACGCACAGAGAAAGGGGCTGTGGGAGCCACACGGGGTCAGGGAAGGCTCTCAGGGGAGGCGACCCCAGGAGGTCTGTGAGCAGGGGCATGAAATGGCCAGTGCGGTGTCTGTGGAAGGCCCTTCTGGCTGCTGTTGGGAAAGACCTTTGAAGCAAGGCGCCCTTTCTGCAGCACCTTGTGCCGTAGACCCAGGCCCACAGCTGCCAGCACGAATGCCCACACGGCTGCAAGACCCACAGTGACGCTGCTCTCGGGGAACACGACGGGGCTGTGACTTCCTGTAAGTCCCCAGGGTCCCTGTGTGTGTCTCGGCACCTCCTCCCTCCTGCCATTCCTCCACTCTCCCTCAAACCCGCTGTCACAGAGTTCTTACGTATAACTTGAAGCTATTTTTTAGATTTACTAAACAACTCCTAAGTGGAATAGGAAATCTAGTTTTTTTTTAACCTATCACTTCTGCTACTCTTTGTGTAACCATCCACCGACATCTATGTTTTCCCGTCAGCGACTCTCGGGAACAAACTTGGAAGCCTCCTCACCTCTGGTTTAAATTTACTTCAACAGAACTTTGCCAACACAAAGGTCATTGCTCTGAACTCAGCACAAGCTCTCCTGTCACAAATAACGAGGGACCCATCTCTCAAGACACTTCTCTCTAAACATCAAAGTAAGCCATTTAATAAATTTATAAGGATTCTCTCAAGCTGGTCGCTGTGGCTTTAATAATTACAGGAAAGCTTGATGTCCCACATTCTACACAAGTAAATTCAAGAGGGCTGATAACAATAAACCCAAGAAACTTCTTAAAAGTTACCTTCTGTCCTAAAATATAAAACTTACAGCTTAGGGGCTGGCCCCGTGGCCGAGTGGTTAAGTTCGCGTGCTCCGCTGCAGGCGGCCCAGTGTTTCGTTGGTTCGAATCCTGGGCGCGGACATGGCACTGCTCATCAAACCACGCTGAGGCAGCGCCCCACATGCCACAAGTAGAAGGACCCACAACGAAGAATACACAACTATGTACCGGGGGGCCTTGGAGAGAAAAAGGAAAAAATAAAATCTTTTAAAAAAATAAAATAAATAAAACTTACAGCTTAAATGAAGGGTTATGACATTTATGTAACTACTAACTTAGGGAACAAAAACTACCAGAAATCGTACAGATGTTTAGTCTCCTAAAATAACTTCATTTACCCCTAGAGGGTCTAATAACACAGTACTATGAAGTTGGGACAAAAATCCAATAAATCACAATGGGACAAGCCAAATGTACTGGCCTGGAGAGCTGTGAAGCAGACCTTGCATTTCTAAACAGATGATGTGTGATATTGCTGTTTGTACAAGGAACTTGGTGTCACTGTTCTAATTATCACAGTGGATTCTAATTATGCAGATCATTAAAATTATTCAGACTGACTTTAGATAGCATCTTCAATTTTCCACTAGGTAAAGATTTGCTAAGCATATAGAAAAAAAGGATTAATTGACTTCCAGAAAGAACATTGCCCTTTCTCGTAGAGCTCAGTGATTCCTGAAACTTTTAAGCTCTCTGCTGCCTGATATGATCTCACCACGATTCATTAGCATCTGAGTCAAAGTCTTCACTGGGCAGTTCTCCCCGAATCCTAATATTCTGCGAGTTTCCTACACTGTTTCCCTCCTAAGAAGTTTCTCACCATTTCATTTTTCAGATGAACCTTAAGGGTATACAGGCAGATCTAAGGAAAAGCCAGAAGGAACGAAGTGAGGCAGAAGGCCCTCACGGCACACCACACATGAAGGCGAGGCACAATTCTGCCGAGTCATGTGTGTGCCCCACGGCCTGGGCTTCATCCAGGGACAGGATAAAGTGATTTGTTAATGGTATTCTTTCCAAAGGACAAGGTCACAACCTTGGCTCGGCCGTGCGTGGCAACAACACAAGAGAAACCTTGCGCACATGGCCTGCCTTCCGGGGCCCTATCATTTCTAAAGCAAAATGGTTCAGGTGGGTGAGTTCAAACCTCAAGATTCTACGTCAGCTCTTGGCTTAGAGCCGACACAGGTACTGACGGGATGTAATGTACAATCCATGTCTAAAAAGCCTTTTTGGGACAATAACCTGCCTTTCTTTTCCCTGAAGCCCTGAGCTCCGTGATTAGCAGGGGCTCACCTCTAATCAGCCAGGGCAGCCCCAGCAAAGTGGGGGTGGGGCTGCAACTTTCCCTCCTTTGTTCTGGGAATCCCAAAACCTCTGGAGGGGAGGGCGGCAGGAGAGCAAGCTACAAGAGGGCCCCTAGGTCAATGTTTACCCTACACAGTGAGCATTCTCAGTAGACTAACAGCAACACAGAACAAGCCTCTAGAAAGGCTCTGGGGAAATGAGCCATCCTTCTTTCCTTGTCATTTTTGCCCTTTTCATTAAAAAATGCATCCTTCTTCCTACTTCTGCCACTGTAAAGATGCAATTCCAAATAGACGCTCTGTTTGAGCCCCCAGAGATGAATGAGGGTGTCTGGGGATCCAACGGCACATGTGACGGGATGGGCTTTCTCCCCATGAAGCACTGTAAAGCTCTCCTCCAGCTCCATCACCACGGTCTCGGGATGGAGAAACACTGAGTCTTATAAAAAGATACCGTCTACCGGAAGAAATCAGAACACAGCTTGATGGCAAATCTTAGAGAAGAACATGAGAATCCTAATCCACTCAATTCCTAAAAACAAAAGGTCACAGGTACCAAAAGCCCTTATAGACTGATATAGACTGAATGTCTGTCTCCTCAAAATTCCTATATTATAGACACCTAACCGGCAAAGTGCTGGTGTTAGGACACGGGGCCTCTGGGAGGCGGTCAGGTCAGGAGGGAAGGGCCCCCATGAATGGAATCAGTGCCCTTATTAAAGGGACCCCAGAGAGCTTCCTAGTGAAGACACAGTGAGAAGATGCTGTCTAGGAACCAGGAGCAGGCCCTCACCAGACACCGAATGTGCTGGAGCCTTGAATTTGGACTTCCAGCCTCCAGAACCGTGAGAAATAAACGTCTGTTGTTTATAAGCCACCCGGGCTACGGTATTTTGTTACAGCGGCCTGAACGGACTAGGACAGAGACTTACTGCTATTCAGAATTAACAATTCACACACGGTATCCCTGGGTTGGCAGTTTATTTTAAAAAACAATACCCAGTTATCACATTTTCTTCTTTGTCCATCATTTTTCTTAACAGAACAAGTTATAAAAAACTTGGGTGGATATATCATCTTTGCAGACCGACACATTCGCAGAGGACTCGTGAATAATGATGATTCAAAAGCTCCTAGTTTTACTCCTGAATCAGGCAAAGAGCAAAGGACACTATAAGAACAAATTTTGTTTATAGCAAGATCATGATACAACATTGAGTTACTACAGCGCAGTGCTTATAATTCAGTTCACAATGGAATATTCTCAGCCCGACAGCAGACACACTGAGATCGCCGACCGCTCACGCCGCAGGCATCGGCGCAGGCAGCCGTCGGGACAGTGAAACCCAAATCGCTAAGGCTTCTCTGGCAGTGAGTCTCTGAGCCCAGGGCTCCCGAGCGTCGAGCTCAGGGCGACCCGCGCCGCCCTCACTTGGAGTCTTGGTCTTTCTTCTCATCTAAAAGGGCGGAGCGGATGCCCAGCTTTCTCAGTTCTTCCACCAGGTCCCCGTTCTGGTGCATCTGCAGAAGGATGTCACAGCCCCCCACGAACTCGCCGTTGAGGTACACCTGCGGGATGGTGGGCCAGTTGGAATAGTCTTTAATGCCTGCGGGGAAAGAACACTCAAGCGTCACTTAAATGGTCAAAGCCGAACTTTTCACAGCAAAATACGTTTTCTACCCACTCCTGGCAGAACACCAGGCGTCCCTCCCTCGCTTCCGCCATCCTTGGGGAACAACATGTTTGCTACAAAGAGAACAAATGGACGGCTGCTTAAACCCTAACTCTTCCAGCGACAAACTGCAAGACCCCAGACAAGTGACTCAACCTCTCACCCCGTTTCCACCCTCATCTCACAAGGTTTTGATGAGAATCAGGGATGTAAGGCTCGTGAATCACCTGGCACGCACTCGACACTGGGTTAACGGCAGAGAACTTGACTGGTGGACGTAAGTCTCACAGGATACACAAAGCCGTATTCTCCACGCATCTGCCAGTCACGTTTCCAGTAAAAGAAACAAAGAAACGCCACAACTTCATTTCCAAACGGACCACTTAGCATGGATCCACCATGTCCCTCTAGGGTGGTAAATGCCACCAGTTATTCACGCTCAAGACGCTGAGTCACTGGTTTTTATCTCTAATAATTCTTTCACCCAGAGAACAATCCCTTTGCCCTGGCCACAGACGGCAGCCCTCGTCCTAGGTAGCCCCTCGGATGGGCCATGCATGGGGCAGGCAGTTTGGCTCAGCACAGAACTCGCAGTGAGTGAAGTGAAGGAGAGGCCCAAAGCTCATTACGGCCCAGGTCCAGGGCCAGGCGCAGGGCCCCAGGGTGAGTGAGACCCTCTCCCTGCTTGCAAGCTCAGAGCACACAAGACACCAAGTGGCACGCATGTGGTCGGTCCCATGTGCGAACGGCTTTGAGGACACCCAGAGATGAGGGACATTCTGTGACACAGCAGCCATGAGATTATTCTGTTCAGTCTGGGCCACGAGGATGACGGTTACAACAAAATCACAGGAAAGAAATGTGCTTTCAATCTTAAGACACAAAAGATTACTCTTTTCTAGCATTCCTCTGCACCATTCTACCTCCTTTTCTACTCGTATGTTGAGAGGAAACATACTTTTTAAAAGATATCTAGCCAATAAAACGTCTGTGCTGGTTATGTCAAAAACAGAGGATGGTCAAAAGCATGACATGTCATAATTAATCACTATAGATTATATATGATATTTTATATGTATATAGATAGGCAGATATTTTTAAACGGCCAAAACGAGCATATAAACAAAACAGAAAAGTCAACAGATTCCTCAAAAAAAACACAATATTACACAAATTAACAAGTTGATCAGGGGCTGGCCCCATAGCCTAGTGGTTAAACTCAGTGTGCTCTGCTTCAGTGGCCCAGGTTCGGTTCCTGGGCACGGACCTATACCACTCGTCGGTGGCCACGCTGTGGGGACAGCTCACATACAAAAGAGAGGAAGATTGGCACAGATGTTAGCCCAGGGCCAATCTTCCTCAGGAAAAAAAATAATAAAATGGTCAGGGCCAGCCTGGTGGTGCAGCAGTTAAGTTTGCACATTCCACTTCAGCAGCCCAGGCTTTGCCAGTTTGGATCCCAGGTGTGGATCTATGTGCAGCTTGTCAAGCCATGCTGTGGTAGATGTCCCACATATAAGATAGAGGAAGATGGGCACGGATGTTAGCTCAGGGCCAGTCTTCCTCAGCAAAAAGAGGAAGATTGGCAGCAGATGTTAGCTCAGGGCTAATCTTCCTCAAAAAAGACAACAATCAAATGGTACTTTCTGTGTAAACAAACTAAAAATGCAAAAACTGGTTCTTGATATCCCATCATTTACTATCAAACATTTATTTTCCAGATAAAATTACAATCCGAGTTACATCACAAATAATCGTACCAAGATACAATGTGCTTTTCTCTTTTAAAAAGTCACTGCCTTCTAAAAACCCGTGACTTTGTTCTAAATTACAGCATTACAGAAGGCTCCCCAAGCCAACCACTTTATCTTTCTTCTCCAGACTTCACATGTGAAGAAATGGTTACAATGTTATAGGTCCTGAAAAGTACACTTCTTTCCTTTTTTTGAACTTTTTTTCCATTGTTGAGGTACAAGTGACATATGACATTATATTAGTTCCAGGTGTACAACATAATGATTCGATATCTGTATACGCTGCAAAATGATCAGCACAACAAGCCTAGTTAACATCTGTCACTATACACAGTTAAAAAATTTTTTTTCTTGTGATGAGAACTTTAAGATCTACTCTTTTAGCAATTTTCAAATATACAATACAGCATTGTTAACTGTAGTCACCATGTGGTACATCACATTTCTAAGCCACTCTGGGTGTCTTTAAAAAAGTCAGCTAGAGGGATGGGAGTTCCCAATAAAGGGCAAACCCCATTACCCAAATAATACGAAATATCTAGAAACACTAGAATACCCTAATGAAGTCAGGTTTTTCATCATTCTGATGTTTAGCGCTACATACTGACTTAGCACGTAAGTTGTGTATTTGGGTTTTTTTTTTTAACTCTATCCTCAAATACAAACAGTCTACCAGAACTTATTTTATAATGATGCCAGTTAGAAATCTTTTCTGACTTTTTATGATGCCTGAGGGTTGCTGTGGGAATTAAGAAACGTTTAAAGTAAATATAAACTTTTAATTCTTCTAAACTTTCTTACATATCTTTTACATTTATGTACATGAACTGTTTACACACATATATTATATCTGGGGGTTTCCGCAATAAATAATATATTGTGTTAAGCTTTTCATGACTATAAATATCTACTGATTTCTTTTGATGAGTGTCTACAATTTTTGAAACATATCAAAAATGAAAATAAATTTGTGGTCTGAAGGCCACCCAAAACCACATGTTTAATCCTAAAAAGTACAATTCTTTTAAAATAAAACCTTTGCTGAGTAAAAGAATGAACTGCTGTCATCAATCATTTTTATGGTACCACAATCAAAGCACTAGGCTTGTCTCATTCATTAGACTGTATGTTGTCACAGACCATTCGTCCTGACTATAAGGGAAGAGAAGGGTATGTCACCAGAATCAGTCCTTACCCCCAAAACTACCAAAACAAGTGGGCTTTCCGACCAGCCTAAACATCCCACACACAGAGTCACGCGCGAGGGAGAGTAACTCCTTCCAAACCCCGGCACGTGGCCGTCTTGCCCAATAACTTACATTCCAAGAACTTAGAACAACCCCACCTTAGAGCACATGACGGCATGTGACGTTACTCAAGGTGCCTACTACCTGGTAATTGATCAAAATTAAACTCAACTGCTTCTTTAATTTTTAGATTAACAAGCGTCACAAGCAGCTGGTGTCAAGGCAAAGCTTTGGCATCTGTCTTAAAAATTATGCTATTTTTCATTTTTAAAAAGTATGAGTTTAAATATTTACGAAAATATCCAATTGATTCCTATAGAGTGAAGGGAGACATTTTCAATAATAAAAGACTACTGTTCATAAGTTGAAAACTAAAATGAATCCCATTGATTCACAATTAATTGTTTAAAGATGGCTAATTTCCCTCACATCTTAATTTTCAAAAACTGTTACTTACAGTGATAGTTCTCATAAATATCACTTGGAATAACTCCGAATCAGAGAGAAACTCGGAAATGTGAGAAAATCATACCCGAGAAGGGATTTTAATGACAATCACATTATATAGATGATAGTGATTAGTGATTCGATTTGGAACAGAAAATGCTGACTGCAAAGTTTGCGTAACAGGCTAACAGGGGAACTGGGAGCTTGGCGGCTGTCTTCCGAAATCAGTTCCACGTACATCTACTGCTCCACCAAAACACATGACGTCAGGCCTGCAGGAGACAATCTGAGCTGAAGGATGGAAAACAGCAGACCCTCAAGAGAGGAAAAACGGAGCCCGGTGACAGACAGAACAAAGTGTTGGCTTACGGCTCAGGGCACTATGGCCCGCTATCTTGTCAACGTAGCAAAACATCTGCTACTCTCTTAGCCTCAGTTTCCTTACCTGCAAAATGGCAGTAACTCCATGCCTCACAGACATATTATGAAGATGAGGTGAGATATACTTGGTGAAATGAATTAAGCTCCCACAATGCCAGGTACATGTGGATACTCTCTCCATGACCACGTCTTCTGCCTCACCCTTCACAGTGATGCTTTTCGGAGAAATATATGCAACAGAGAAAGCACAGGGAAAGAATGCAGGATCCTACAACTAGAATATACAGCTACACACTCGGGGGCTTTGGGGAGAAGAAGAAGAAAAAAGAGAGAGTGCAGGAAAAATACCAATTAAGTATGCCATGCAGTATAAAAATACCCCCTTTCTGAGCTAAGGGTGAGTGAGTTTCATATTCTTTATGTGTTTTACATACATAATCTCATTTAATCTTTACAAAAATCCTTCAAGATACAAATAATTATCCCTGTTTTACCAGCATGCAGTGGAGCCAGGATTCACATCCAGGTTTCTGGGGTCCAAAGGCCCAGGTCCTGACCCCCAGAGGCAGCCCCTGGTCTGCAGCTGGCACCTGCCATCCCGCCCATCAGCTCCACTTGCACTACACGTGGATCTGCAGTATTTGGCAGCATTTCACACTTTAACATTTATATACACAAATGGCACTGTGCCACAGTTACCATTTTACAAATTGTTTTTTGACTAAACACTGCATTTTTTGAGAATTAGTTGTATTCAACACATCGAGATCTAGTTGATTTTATCCACAATCTAGTTTTCCACCATATGACCATGGTTTGTTGATCCAGTCTGCTACTAGTATTCCAAGATCCTTTCTGGCCAATTTTTCCTCATTACACGCAACACTGCAATGAACATCCTTACGTGTCTTCTAACTCAAGTGCGGGCGTCTCTCTCTCTAGACAAAGGGATGGCAAACTATGGCCTTTGGGCCAAATGTGCTCCACTTCCTGTTTTTGTAAATAAAGTTTTATTGGAACTTAGCCATGCTCATTCATTTACGTATTGTCCCTGACCGCTTTCACTCTGCAACAGCAGAGTTAAATAGTCCTGTGTCACTTAATGACGGGCCATGTTCTGAGAACACATCCTTAGGCGATTCCATTGCTGTGCAAACATCATAGAGTGTACTTACATAAACCGAGATGGTTTAGCCCACTACACGCCTAGGCCAAAGGGTACTAATCTTATGGGACCACCATCGCATAGGCGGTCCATTGTTGACTGAAAGGTCGTTATTTGGTGCATGACTGTAGGTAAAAACAGAAACCATGCAATCCACAAAAACGAAAGTATTTACTCTCTGGCCCTTCACAAAGGACGCCTGTCAAGCCCTGCTCTAGCTCTAACCCAGGAGAGAAGCAGCTGGGTCTTCAGCTATGCTCACCTTCACTCCTCCAAAGTGTTGGTACAATTTTACACTCCCACCTGCAGCGTATGACACATCCACCACACACACACATAACTTATTATCCAACTTCTAACATTTACCTATGACATTGGTTTTTCACTATTGCCTTAAATTCCCTGACACTGGAAAGGCTGAGCATATTTTCAAATGCTTAATAAACACTCAACAGATACTGCTCCCGATGCAAGGAATATAATGGTGATCTCAACACGCAGAAATTTATGAGTGTTTATAATGTTCTCAAGAGCATGGAAGAGAATTTATGATATGATTTTAAAAAAGAAGCATTTCCTTATTCATTAAAGTGCTCACAGAAAGCTTGCTCTGCACAAGCAATATACACAGCACCCACGCAGTGGCTTAAGCCACGTTCCCTGCTCCCAGGAGGGCACAATACCATGTACAGACATGCATGATCTCAATTGCGCTTTAAAGAAACTGTTAGAAACTAGGTCCAAATGTTAATATTGGTTTTATACGGAATTAGAGGTGATCTTCGTTTTCTTTATGTTTTCAGTGTTTCCGAGTGTCTTTAACGAATACATGTTACTTTTATAACTGAAAATAAACGATATTCCTTGTTAAGACCAGGATTAGGATATGGTGACACCTGTCTACTGAGACCCGATCGCTTTGTGGCTGTCTCCCGTGTGTACTCCAGATGAAAAGGAGACGGGAAAGACCCTGAGAAAGGCCAGAACCCAACGCTGCCTCAGGGTCGCCTCTGTTTTGGGTCACAGGCTGAGACCTCTCTGCCATCACATTCTCTGGACGCAGCGCCCGGAACAGGGAGACAGTGTCTGAGGTCTTCCTCCAGCTTAGGCCCTTTGTAAAGCACAGCCTTCTTTGGCCCGAGAAAAAAGGAAAAGCCAATTGTGCAGGAGCCCCTCTCCTGTTACTAGAAATGACTGGGAGTCTGGGAAGCTGCAGACATCTCTGGCTGGCAAAAGCGAGCAGCAGCCAGCCTGTCAATCTCTCTTGGTAAACTTAAAGGGGTAGGGAGCAAAGAGGTAACAAGTCTTCATGTTTTAAAGTCTTAGCCCGGCTAAGCTAATCCCCACCAGGGGAACATGCTTACACCACATCAGCCCAGTCTGAAGGCCGATATCTCACCAATGTTTACTTTTCTAAGAAATGAAAGAGGTGTGTTATGTTCAATAAACATACGCATTTATTAACCAGAATAACAATCTGATGAAACTCAATGGTCAAGAAATCGAAGGGTTAAAGTCCTGTTCTGTTGTTTGAACACTTAAGAACCTAGGCTGGGAAGCCAGACATACAAGATGGAAGACGGAAACATAAGTGCTGGGAGGAAACATTCTTATTTCTGCTCCGACTTTCAGCTGATTAGCTATATTCCAGAACAGCCCACCTCCACTTACATTGAACAGGAGCCAGAAATTCATAAACCAGAGACCCTCAAAACTTGTTTGCAACTTTTTTTATAGTGTTTTTTTAATTGAGGTCACAGGGGTTTATAACATGAGGTTCAGGTGCGCATGATTATATTTCAGCTTCTGTACAGACCGTGCCACCTTGGTGGTGCTCACCACTAGAGGTCTAGTTGCCATCCATCACCGTACACCTGTGCCCCTGCTGCCCTCCCCCACTTCCCCTCTGGTAACTACCAATCTCCTCTCCCTGTTTGTTTGTTTGTTTATCGTCTACATATAAGTGAAGTCATATGGCAACAGAAATTCCATATGATCCAACTATTCCACTTCCGGGTCTTTACCCAGAGACACAACTTTTTACTAACCGCCATGCTGGCAATCTGCAGGGGCCCTGTGGCAAAGTTCCAGCTGGAAGATTGCAGAGTAGTGTCTTATCTCTTAAGCAGGGAAGCTGCTACTAGATAAAGACTGCAGATCCCCCTGTAGTGAGAAAACCCCAGAGCCTAGCAACTGGTGGCATTCCAGCAGGCCAGGAAGACAAGCGATCATGCGCCTAATATACAGGAACATTCTATGGACCTGCTGATGTCAACCTGCCTCCTCCACTCCCCCTTGTTTCTACCTACCAGAACTAAGAGTTTTGTAAGGATTAGTTAATGTGGGAAAAAATACTTTGAAAACCATAAAGTGCTAACAACAAAATAGCTTCCACTTAGAAAGTGCCTCCCATGTGCCAGATGAGATGACAGGCACTTTCTTTCCTCACAAAAACTCTGCCAAGTTTGGTTTCCTTATCCTCACGTTAAGAAAAGGAAAATGCAGTTATGTGACTTGCTTAAGGTTGCACAGCCAACAGGCCGCAGGCCTCCAGCCCAAAGCCTTCCAAGACACCAGCCTCTCTCATCAACGGAGGAATGACTATGATTGATGATTTCAAACGTACAGCAGTAGTTCTGAATGTAGAACAACAAAATGCAGAATTCTAAAAGTCGAACAACATGGAACTTGGTGTCTTAAAAGACTCCTTTTAGAACACTGTAACTAAACATGAGCACTAGGCTCAGGGAGACGCAGGGACTCCATCACTGAAAGTCTCTAACTGGAATGCAGGGCCCTAAGGCACCCTCCAGGAGGTACAGCACAGCCTCCCCATTTCTCCACCAGCTCTGACCAACGCTAGGCAAGCAGACCCAAAGGCTCTTCTGGCCTCTTCCTCCTCCCCCACTGAGATAAAACGGGAGACTGCAGTAAGATTAAAGGAGAACGCAAGGGGTGTCAAACAGAAAAGATGCTAATTAGCTGTCAGGGCCCTCCCTCCTCTCCCCGGACCAATGAAAACCAGCAGGCCCTAGACCCTGACTGGCCCCATGCTCCTTGAGTTCCAAGCTCGAGTTAGCTAGGGCCCATTCCTCCTCCCTCTCCCCACAAGCCTCTCCAAGCTCTAGCCCCCACAAATTCTCCCTGTCCTTGAGTACCTAAAATCAAACTTCATGCCTTTTTCTCCCACGCCACCAGATCCTAAGACGAATCCGACGGCTGTGCCAACCCCCCACTTTAGCAACAACAGAGGCTGGTCCCTGACACCCTGAGCCTTGAACCATGAGATGTCAAGCCTCTGACGTCATGAGCCTTAGACAAGAGCAACCTCTGCCCTTCCCCGACTAGCGAAGGCCCCGCCCCCACCCCAAAGTGTCCCCGAAGTGCCTACCTCCTAGTGATTCTTACTGTACCCCTCTTTGCCGGGCGGGGAGTCAGGCTGCTCCCCCTCCTCGGACTCAGCCAGTGAACTCGCCCCAAAACGCCTCATTCAGCTCAGCTTGCGGACCGGGGACTCGCTACGACTTACCAACTGCCCAGGGTGGCGACAGTACCAGACCTCCGGATCCTCAAGACCCAGATCAAGTGGATCACGCTCCGACCCCAGACCCATAACGCCCTATGGGGAGCACCCCGTGCCCTAATCCCGCTCGAGCCCATAAACGGACCCTCGCGAAGACCCCCGCCCGGCAGAGCAGCCCCGTCCCCGCCCCCCGCAGGCCCTGACCTTGCCGGAGCTGGGGGTCGTCCAGCACGTTGTAGGCCGCGTAGTCGCGGACGCCGTGCAGCCGCAGGATCTGCACCACGGCGTTGCTGAAGCCGCACTGGGGCTGCTCCGGCGTCCCCTTGAGGAAGACCACCACCTTGTCCTTCTTTACCATCGCGTCCAGCTGCTCCGCCGAGCCGCCACCGCCGCCCGAGCCCGCCGCCCGCACGCCCGGGCCCCGCAGGCCGCCGCCCCCCGCGCCGCGCCCCCAGCGGAGCAGAGCCGCCGCTGCCCGGCCCACGGACCCGCTCATTCCCGCGCGCTCGCCGGAGCCCTCGACAGCCCGGGATCTCCGCTCGCCTCCCGGAGCCTTCCCCGGCCCGCCCCCCGGGGGTCCTCATTGGGTGGCTCCGAACTGCGCTCCGTGATTGGAGGACACTGGCCCGCAATTACTCTCTTCTACCAATCACGTTCCTCATCCCGCCCACACAGGTTAGAGGCGGCCCTTACGCCCGACCGCATCTTTCAGCCTTACTATTGGCCGTCGGCAAACACGGCTTCAGTTGATTGGAGAGAGTGGGTGTCCGTCAGGGTCACGCTCCGAGGCAAGGAGAGGCGAAACGAGGGGTAAGACGACTTCCCTCCGGCGGGTAGACGGGCCTGCTGGGATACTCCAGGATGACTGGGAAAGGCACGGGGCGGGGTCTCGCCGTCCGCAGAACGCCGGAAACGGAGTCCTTCCAGACGACTTCCGGTTCCGGTGTAGGCGGTGGTTGAGTTGCCATGGCAGCGCGGTTGGCAGGAGCCTGGTTGTTGCATCAGGGCGGTGGCCGGCCTGGAGCAGGCCTGGGCCTGGCTTTCCCAGCTTAGGTGAGCGACCCGGGTGCCTCCGTAAGGCCGCGGCCGAATGCGGCTGCTCGTGGCGGGAGCGGGGGCCGGGCCGGGCACTGGCGGCCAGGCCTGCCCGGGGCTCCGGCGTCCGGGCCGGGACCACGAGTCCCGCCCGCCCACGTGGGAACACAGGCACGATCGATCCCCGTGGCTCCCGCCTCTGGCGCGCGACGATTTCTCTAACACTTTCATTTTAAAAGTTTGTCAAGCGCTCTCGTTTGTGTGATCCGCGCTGGGTTTGGGGCTTCGCTGACTTTCCAGCTCACCTAAGCCCTTAGGCCTAGGCCCAGGGAAGATTTGTTGAGTGGAGGACTAAGAAGGGAGTTGGTTTATGGGACAGATGTTCCTTGAGCAGCTGCTGCGTGCTGGACATGGCGCCAGCGCGGGATCTTCAGGGCGACCTGGGGCCCGAAGCTTGGAGTCAGCGTGAGAAAGGAGAAGCAGGTACAAAGCAATGTGGGGGTACAGAGGAGAGAAAGAAAGCCTCGCTAGGCCCATTGCTGTCTCTTTTCTCCATTGTACTTATTGCTCCTTGCCATGCATTTATTAGGTTGTGTATTGACTTCCCTCCCAGGCACTCGACTTAATTCACTGCTATACGAGCGTGGCAGGTGCACGAATGGGTGGCATGAGTGATTCCGGAAGAGCAGGACTCAGTGAAACCACCAGATCTGTAGTCTTGGAGCTGCGCTGGGTTGGTGGTACCCTAGAGCACACCAGACTTGCAGAAAAAGCATACTGCAGAGGAAGCTGAGGCATGACTGCTCAAGAGCCAGCAGTGCCATGTGCAATTTTCCTCTGATAGTCACTGGGTACTGTTGCCACGGTGATGATGACTGTGCCGTGTCCTTATCTATCCGCCAACAGTAAGAGAAACCTTGCAGTCGAGATATTGTTTAACAGATGGAGTGGTTTCTGTTGGACACTAAGTACTGCTACAAATGACTTTTTAAAAAACCCTATGTATTTTAGAAATGGTTTTAGAGGTGACCTGTTTATGTTTTGGAGGTGCTCAGAAAATTAAAATCAGAAAACTAGTGCATGTGCTGTCAGCAAATGAGTGTTCCAAATAATCAGTCATTCGGCCCGAAGCTTGAGGCTAGGAAACTGAAGATAAACTCCAGATGTTGCTCAGAAGTGCTCCTCGTGCGTATTTATTTCATCCCCGTCAGCGTTATTGATGTTTGGTAGATTTCTAATGTGGGACCCAAAATGGATCAGCTTCCTAAAGAATCCTTTTTTTCCCCAGGTTCCTTGATTCCAGATAAATCAGAGGAACAAGCTTCATGAACAAAAATATATTGGGAATGCTGTGGCACTGCAGCGTGACTGTTGTTTCGGAAGTCTAACATCTGGCACGCTTAACAGCTGAGAATATATTATTTCCGAAAGCACCTAGCTTTTACTCATGCTTATAGTATAGTAAGTTCTTTTTTTTTTTGTTTGAGGAAGATTAGCCCTGATCTAACATCTGCTGCCAATCCTGCTCTTTTTGCTGAGGAAGCCTGGCCCTGAGCTAACATATGTGCCCATCTTCCTCTACTTTATATGCGGATGCCGCCACAGCGTGGCTTGCCAAGCAGTGCCATCTCCGCACCTGGGATCCGAACTGACGAACCCCGGGCCACTGAAGCGGAATGTGCGCACTTAACCGCTGTGCTGTGCCACTGGGCCGGCCCCCTAGTAAGTTCTTTTTTTTTTTTTTTTTAATAAATATTGGTGAGTCGTTCCCAAAAACCTAATTGTTTATTGCCTCCTTTAAACTGTCTAATTCTGCTTTCGTGTTGACTGGAAGAGGGAGAGGAATTCGCAGACTTGTGTTGTGAGGACCCGGAGCGGTCCTGAGGAGTTGCAGAGCTCCTCCCTAGTGTGTAGTCCTGGCTTCGGAGGCATAGTTGTCAACTGTTATTGTTAATAAGTTGAGAGTACAGCTGTCATCAGAGATTAAGGGTAACCCTCGAGCAGGAAGAGTACAAAGCGTGTGTTTTTCAAAATTCCGGGAGAGTGCTGCCTACCACGGAGCGTGGCGAGAACATGCATGAAGTGTCAGGATGTGGGAAAGCATGTCGGCTCTCTTCCAGGGACCTCAGTGATGGTTCGAGCAAAGGCAGGAAGACCAATCATGTATCTGAACCGAAGAAACTGAAACAGTACATCAAAATTTAGGTGTTTAATAAAAATATAAAACGTGATCTCTGTTGAACATATTCCTTTGTCTTTGATTTAGAACTATTCTTGCAGTATTGCGTCAGACATCAGTGATTTGAAGCAGCAAAGAAAATAGTATTTGAAATATTTCTTCCAAACCACATGATTCGGGCATTTTATATGATTTGGCCTTTTAGTTTTGAGGTTTCTCTTTAGAAATTCTGTAATGAAAACATGACAAAAATATACTTCTTAAATAAACAATTGTCAAAAACTATACTTATGCTCAAATGTATTTGGGTGTTTAGAACACGTACGTAGATAATCTATGTCAGTGTGTGATCTCTCCCTCGTGGACATTACTGAGGGGGTGCGGGTGGGAAGTACACAGAAACTTATGAGAAGCCTGGGATTTTGGTCACAAAATGTAATTAGACCCCAAACTAAATAATCAGGCCATGTAAACATGCTGACTCGGGCATCCTAAAAATGTTTTTCTTTCCTGTGCTTATTGACAGATAAAGCTTTATTGATTTGATAAAATTTCTCTTCCACCCACTCCTCCAAAAGCAAATTCACGCTTGAATCCATAGTTACGAACCTCACACATTGGAGATCGTTTCTTCCTATGTCTCAGCCCTAAACGAAGAGGCGGGGTCGCTGAAGCTAAGAGGGCGCTTTCCTTCCTGACTTCAGTCTCCAAGTCTGTGCTGCGTTCTGACAAAAGGTGTGTTTCTGTGCGTAGGACATGCCCTACAGAAATGTCTCGGTCCAAGCTGGCCAGAGCTTCTCTAAGTGTCATTTTCAGGGAAAAGTGGCTACTTGGGTTGCACAAGGGGTTGAGCCACCAAACCTCCCTGAACTAAAATACCATTTGGGACCCAGAGTTCCGTAGACTCCAGCTGGAACCTGAACCTTCTCTCTGCTGTGACCGAGCTCTATCCGGTAATTTTAAAGCACCACTGCACCCTGGAATTAACTTGATCCCCCAGCGACCCTAAAAATAATGTCATGTGAGAAACCAAGGCAATGCCCAGCCCTCTAAGAGAATGTTCGATAGTCTCTAATGCAAAGAGAGAAATGCCCTCTGGATGTTTACTGCGTCTATCTGACGAGACAGCTGGCTTTATAAATACTTCTCTAGCCATGGGAGCGGCCTCAGTTTTGCTATCTCTGTTTCCCACATCGTGTAGAGACGGGAAGCAAGGCCCCCTTAGGCCCTGCTTGCGCTGTATCACATAGGTCCTGCTCTCCTCGTCTGGGTAAAATGAAGAGACATGCTGTGCTGTGCACTGGGTTCATTCAGTCTAAAACAGACCCTGGGAGATGCCGATGAAATCAGATTCTCTGAAGAAGCATTTGTGAAAGTCCTGGATGCCACAGCAGAACCTGGATTCTGGTCTCCACACATGTTAGATTTGGAATATAGAGGTGTGAGGCCTGGTTCCAGTCCTAAGCATCACTAAATACTTAGGAGTTCTTTCTGATTCTCCTTAGAATTTTCCACCCCTGCTCTCTTCCTCTGCCTGGATTTGTGAAAAATGGATTTGTGATGTCTGCAAAAGGTTATGCTGATTTCACGATGTCTTTACGTAAGGGCTGCAGGGTTTTAAGGAATCTATTCCGCTGCTCCTGAACATTTACCCCCAAATAATGCCATCTTCCATGTGTGGAATACTATCTTGTTCTTCAAACAGGTTTTGTGTACATGAGTTACATCAACCCTAGGATGATGGTTCTCAGCTATTTTGGTCCCCAAATTATGTTCTCTGTCCAGTGTTTGTTTATAACATCTTTTGGCAGACTTGAGCAGTTGGGGTTCCTCTGTAAGTTTTGTTCCCCTCAAGCGCTTTTTAGCATTTTACTGCTGAATCCTAGCATCCCCAGGAAGTCCCGCATAAAATTAAATATTCCTGAATTACCTTCGCTGGCCCTGCATGTGTGTTTATTGGATGCAGATGTGATCTTTGTGCTTTGTGAAACTAAAATGACACCATTTCAAGCCAAAACTCCAATGGAAGAAATAGAAACCATGGCTTTTTCACTTCCGAGAGTTCAGTTCTCTTATCTCCGTGCTTCTTTTTCACATTGAGGACTGAACTCCTTGGCTCTGGCCCTTTAAAACCAGACATCTGCTGGACTTCGCTCTATTGAGAACATTATTTTATTCTGAAAGAAAGAACCCAAATCCTGTCCCTCTAAGGTAACATTAAGAATTAAGTGGTAATCATAAAACACGTGAAGGCTTGATTAAAGGTAGTAAAAGAACTGTTGACTTTCCTCAACTGTCTGTTTAATGAAAGACTTTAATGTTTTGCATCCTGTGTTTCTCTTTTTATCAGCACATACTTTCTATAACGCAAACTGTTATTACACTCCAGCAACTTCTGAGAAGGTGCCCAGACCACAGAAGATGAAAAGCTGGGAGCCAGTGCTGTTGTGTGTCAGACCTGTTATGAAGATTTATCTGTTACCAGAAGTTTCTGTCCCCCTCTGATAATCACTGAGTTCGCGGCCAGATGAACATTTAGACCGTTTTATTGTTTTCTTGTCAATGATTGCTAAGATGTATTGCCAAGGCCGTAAATACTCTTTATGATGAGTCAGGATTTCACTTCGTACTTCAAACTTTGAGCCTTAATGACTTCATGCCTTCAAAATTAAATCTTGCTGTCATGGGAACCCGTCACTCCAGGCTTCTTCAACAATTCATCTAGCCAAGGAAGAAAAATTCACCCCAGTTTCACAGAGGTGGTGAGGGGGCAGGTTGGAAATGGGATAAAACATTAACTGTTCGTCTTGTTTTGCGGGAAAAGATCGGAGGATTTTAAATATATTTTTTCTGCATTCATGTCCAGAAAAAAATCCCATTTGTTAATTCTAAACTTTACGCTTTCTGTAAGTGTAACCTACTAATTAACTGATATCAAATTTATGTGAGCCAGAGTTTCAGTTAAAGACTATATTATAAATCAATTATATTCTGGGGGAAAAAAAAAGGAAGAGGGCAGCTTTTTTCATAAAGCCCACTTGCAAACTTGAGTGTCTGTGAGAATTTTGTATGAAACGCCTTGAGGAGAAGGTGACCCTTGCAGGCCCTCTCCCCTCTCCAGACAGACAGTGATCTGGCATCTTCTTTTCCTGTCCTAGCCCGTCCTGGGGCAGTCTGAGTGCACGTCAGTCCCCTTGGTGTGATAGTCCCATCGGTTCATCTTCCTTCTTGCCAGGCAGCAGCACCTCCGAGAGGTCACACATACTGCTGGCCGCCTGGGGACAGGGCCGGTAACGTCCTCCTACTTGAAGGGATTTTTGCTTATGTTCAAAAATAACACAGCACGTCCTCTTTCAAAATCATTCTGTCTTTGGAGAAACTTGGAGCATGCCATGAGTCTCTGCCTCACCCTGCGGGGCCGATAGGGGGCACTAGTCCATTTTACTTGGGATGTAGGGCCTGTCGTTACACACAAGCTCTGGGAGTTAATCAATTTGCCCAGTTCTAGGCAGAGTCTCAGTTCTCCTCCAAGGCCTGTTCTTATTTAGGGAATGGCTAACTTCCTTAGTTTTTTAATATTACAGCCACAACAGATTGGAAGCAGTAAATTTAAAAGGCTGACACTAAAAGCAAGAAGATGCAATGATCTATAGGTTAACGGGAGATTTAAAAAATTAAGAAGCAGACATTCTGGGGCTTTTTTTCTTTGAACAGCAGCATTCCGGGAGCATTTGCTGTCAGCGGGGCACACAGCCCCGACACATCGCTGCTCCTTGAGCTTCAGAGACGTGTATCCTCATTCCAAGTCTCTACCAAAAGGAAATTATAGTCCACGGGCTTTGGTTAAGAAGTCAAGGAAACGTAGTATATATTAGATTGCCAACAAAAATTACGCACACACACGTGGCTTAAAGGAGTTACGTTAAAAAATAAACTTCAGGGGCCAGCCGGAAGTGTAGTGGTTATTAAGTTCGTGCACTCCACTTCGCTGGCCCAGGGTTCACAGGTTCAGATCCTGGGTGCAGACCTACACATCACTCATCAAGCCATGCTGAAGTGGCATCCCACACACAAAATAGAGGAAGATTGGCACAGATGTCAGCCCAGGGCCAGTCTTCCTCACCAAAAAGAATAAATAGACTTCAGAGGAATACTTTCTTCCCTCATTATGCCAGATAAACACTTTTATTCCGGTTCTGTTGTATACCTCATATTAGTCCACGGAAGCACCTTAAAAATACTAAATTGGTGGTGAGGGACTGAATGATACTGGCATAAAGTTGAGTTTTTCTAAATTGTGTGAACCAAATGTTGGTCTTGAGAGAGCTCA